AACCGAGCCTCTGTTGGCTGAGGCATGCGAGACCGAGCCTCGGTCTCTGCTCCTTCTCTCCTCTCTGTCTCTACCTGCCTCTCGGTCTCTGCTCTCTCTTCCCTTCTCTCGGTCTCTACTCCTTCTCTCCTCTCTGTCTCTACCCGCCTCTCGGTCTCTGCTCTCTCTTCCCTCCTCTCGGTCTCTGCTCCTTCTCTCCTCTCTGTCTCTACCCGCCTCTCGGTCTCTGCTCTCTCTTCCCTCCTCTCGGTCTCTGCTCCTTCTCTCCTCTCTGCCTCTACCCGCCTCTCTGTTCTCTTCTTCCCTCTCGGTTCCTCTCCTCTCTCTTCTCCACTCTCGGTTCCTGCTCTCTCCCTTCTCCCCTCTCGGTTTCTACCCTCCCTCCTCTCGGTTTCAGCATCAGAAGGCCGAACCTCGGCCAGATTTCGGAAATTTGTCACTTTTAGCCCATTTTTGATATTTTTAACATTTTAAGCCCGTTTTTCGTGATTTTAAAGCGGGATTTTCTCCAGAAATTATATTTTAACATAATAAACCCTAAATATTCATAATTTAAACATATTTTGATGAAAATCATTATCTAAATAATAAAAATCAAATGTGTGAATTATTAAAGGTGGAGTGTTGACTTTGCCTTATCCAATGTCACAAGCAACCACCCCACACCCACTCTTTGACTAACCACACCTCCCCACCTTACCTAAGTCACATCAATGTCCCTTACACTCAAATTACACTCATTCCCACGTTTTTAAAGCTGGAACAAACATCGTCTCTCCTCATTTCTCTCATTTGCTCTCATTCCACTAAGTATCAAACACCACTAATCTCTCAAACTCTTTCTCCACCAAACTCGAGATTCAAGGATGATTATCAAGTGTTCTTCCACATTTGGTAAGCATAATCCATTCTCCTTATGATTATCTCACTTATTTCCACTCAAATCATGGATATCTTACACAAACTCCATCATATTTGTGTTAGAGCTTCGAATCTTCAAGTGATTCTTCAAGTGTTCTTGGCTTGAACACTTCTCTTCTTCAACACTTATCTACTGAAATCACTCAAGGTGAGTTCATACCCCTACATTTTGATGTTTTCTCAAGTTTTCATGGGGGGAATACAAGTTAAAACACTAAGGACATAACTAAATTTTTCTAACAGCCTTCATCAGAAAAGTTCAACTCCATTCACGGACTGTTTTGGGCATCTTAAACATTTTTGTTTTCAAAACTGTACAAGGTGCAAATAGTTCAAGTTCTTAGCTTTAAAATGGCTACTTGCACATCTCCATACGATTTTTCTACAATTTATGGTGATTTTTACAAAACTGACTATCATTTCAAACAACAATCCGGACCAGTCTGTGATTTTGGACTTATTCACCCAAGTTGGAGGTCATTAAAAATCGTGATAAGAATTATGAGTAAACTAGACACATTTTTTGAACTCTCAGAATTTACGGATCTAGTTTTCAACTTCGTATGATTTTTCTATGATTTTTCCAAAACAGTGCAGAATGGCTAAAGTTAGCCAACAGCATGTAAATATCATAACACTTTGTATTATGTTGAGCAAAGTGTATAATCATAAGTTCAAATTATTGAATGTGTTTCTTTGTTAGTTTATCATCATGAACTGAAACTAAGTCATTCATAATAAATATTATTCATTCATTTTAGAACACGTATATTAAACTATAAAAAGTATAGTTTGATAAATTCATAACACTAACACATTTTCATAAAAGAGTTCATACATATTACATACATTTTAGATAAACTATAATAGGTATAGTTTATGATACATCACTCAACACACTCGTACAAAAAGGGTACATTCATACAAGAAAGATTTATATTCACACACATTTCACGTAAACTTGTTAACCTATAGTTTGATAAATTCATAACACTAATACATTTCCATAAAAGAGTTCATACATATACATACATTTTAGATAAACTATAATAGGTATAGTTTATGATACATCACTCAACACACTCGTACAAAAAGGGTACATTCATACAAGAAAGATTTATATTCACACACATTTCACGTAAACTTGTTATCCTATATTGTGAGACTCTCTCTCTCTCTCCCCCCGTATGTCCGAGTGCGAGATATAATTCCTGGTAGTTATAATCAGAATCTCATTGAGGGAGAACATGATACTTGTATATAGATCTATATTGGGTTTGACACCCCACACCTTGCTGCTAGCTACAGTTGGACCTGCAGGTCTACGGGTGACAAATGTCATTTCAGTTTTCTCGACGCCTGAGAACGTCGTGGCAGGTTCACATAGTCATAGTATGATTATAGCGACTCACATAGGATATAACAATCCATAAGTTTACGAGATTTTATTTTTAAAACCTAAATGAGTTTTATGTCGATTTAAAATCACTTTTTATCTCTATGAGTACAGATTTTACTGTACACTTTTGGTTTTGGTAGTTACGACTACACATCATTTGAAACCACATTTATACCTTTAAAGTATGGTCAATACTTGTTATTACCCGGTCCTCTAATTTAGGACTACATATATATAATGTATTAACAAATATGAGAACGTACAGAAATTTCATTTAATTCAAAAGAGTCCACGTCCATTTAAATACATAACATTTTCTATTAATAAGAAAGGTTACTTATACATTTTGGTCTTCAGTCATAAGACTACATTACACAGATTTTAAAGAAAATATCGGATTTTCTTGATACATATTCTAACGCTTTTACAAGGAAAACGATATACTTTTCTAACGAAATCTCTTATAAACTCACCAACCTTTGTGTTGACACTTTTCAAAACTACTTGTATTCTCAGGAATTCAGTGAAAACAGGAAATCAACAACGTTTTGAGGATGGGACGATAAATCGTCAAACAGTTCATTTTGTATCATAATGTAATTGATGTGAATCATGTAAACATGTGCTTTGATGTAACGTTTTCAATTATATTTGTGTTGGTTGTATTTACTTTGAGCACTATTATACTCATTGTTGTGATACTCTACATGAAGTCATCCACCCCCGGACGTTTCCGCCATCCTTGGTTTGGGGGTGTGACAGAAAATGGGCGGATTTTGTCAGTCGGTCAACTATTACCCATATAGTGTCTAATCCGTCTGACGTCTTGGGTAGCTTGGTCATAAAGTCCATGGAAATCCCTTCCTATTTCCACTCAGGAATCAGCGGTTGCTATAATAACCCCGAGGGCTTCTGGTACTCCACCTTTACTTTGGCGCAAGTAATGCATTTGCTGACATAGGTGGCAATTTCTGCCTTCATGTTAGGCCACCAATAATGTTGTTTAATATCCAAGTACATCTTTTCCGAACCTGGATGGATGGAGTATCGCGTCTTGTGAGCTTCATTCATGACTACCTCCCTAAATCCTCCGAGTTTAGGGACCCAAATACGGTTCATGAAATAGTATACTCCGTCCTCTTTTACCTCTAGATTCTTCTCCATTTCGCGTAATGCTTCGCTTGCTCTATTTTCCGCCTTCATGGCATCTGACTGGGCTACCCCGATCTGAGTGGTTAGGTGAGATTGGATGGTTATTGAGAGAGTTTTCGCGCGACGATTAGAGTACTCCTTCTGGCTCAAGGCATCAGCCACCACGTTAGCCTTGCCTGGGTGGTACTTGATTTCACACTCATAATCGTTTAATAGTTCAACCCATCTTCTTTGTCTCATATTCAACTCTTTTTGATTCAGGATGTGTTGGAGACTCTTGTGATCCGTGAAGATGGTGCACTTCATACCATAGAGGTAATGCCTCCAAATCTTCAGAGCGAAGACCACTGCTTCCAGTTCCAGATCGTGGGTTGTATAATTCACTTCGTGTGTCTTTAGTTGGCGGGATGCGTAAGCTATCACTTTTCAGTTTTGGTTTCAGGTACCTCTTCAGCGAAGGGGAAGGAGCCGGCGCGGTAGTGACACATTACGTACACACTTTGGATTTCCTCATTATGAGATGTCCTGGGATTGTACTATGACATTATTATTATTTTCTTGTTTTGGGTTTTCAGACACGTAATATGTTTTATGAAATGATATAACCGAATGATGTTTTGCTATAAATATTTTACAAACCACTTATTTTAAATGAAATTTTTGGGCATGAAAATCGGGTTGTTACACTATTGGATTGATCTAGTTGGATCAAAGGGTTTGTTTACAATAACAAATAAGAGGCAAGTTATCCTTTTGTGAATTTCGGTTTCTATTTGTGTTTAGAACTTTTGTTGTTCAATAGTATGTGTGCTTCAATAGTGTTATGACATAGATCAAGTTAGGTTGCATGTACCCTTAATAGTATTAGATATTTTCCACATTATTACATTTAAAACCCATCATTCCAGCCCTTCAAGAAAGAGATCAGAGGATCAAAGAACTTATCTCCCTCAGGGTGGAAGCTACTATTCAAAAGGTTTATCAAAATAATGCTACTAATGTTGCAAAGTTTCTGAAACATGAGGTAAAGATGATTGAGATGATTAAAGAGATTGAACAGTATTCATTCAATACTATTGTTTAGATAGGAGCATCCCAATGAGAAAATATTGGAGGATCTCATATGAAAACTCTCATGTGATGACATGTAATGTTATTCTTGTTTTACTATTAAACAAGTTGTTGAATGATAAACAACAAACTCTCAATATTTTGAATGGTATAATGGATGTATGTCTCTGAGGTCTTCAATTGTATGTTGATGATTTGAAAGAAAAACAAACTCATCCTTAGAAAATATCTCCTGTTGATTCTATGATCATCAACGACCTCAACAAAAAGCTAACCAAACATTACATGACCATTCTTGAGAAAATGGAAGGTCTCAAGAGTGACAAGTTAGAGGTTTTGGATGGTTCTACCTCCACAAAAAGGAGAGACGAAGAGAAATCTACACAAAAACAAAATGATCATCCTTATCCACACTCATGGTACATCCACACAAAGCCAAAAATAGTGGAAGTAGCGAATGACTCATCAGAAGATGAAGAAAATAAGAAGTAATCCACCCTCAAAGCTACAAAATAAGAAGCTTCCTCATCCATCAGTCAGTTTAATTGTTCTCCCTATTTGCAATACATCACTCTTCCTCCTCCTCCTCTTCAAGAAAAAAGAAATAAAGACTCCTCCTACTCCAACCAAACTCAAAGGGAAAGGAAAAATTGATGAATCAGAAGCTATTCATTTAAACTACAAGGAATCATCTAATACAAAAACTAAAGAGCTCAAAATGATCACAGAAGAGTTGGGATATCAAGCTGCTGTAAAGCTGAAAGCCGAGCTTGATCATCAAGTTGCTTTGGAAAAAGAAAATGTTGTTGGGTCAAGCCCAATCGAAGAAGATTTGTCTACTGAAGATGATGACAAAATCATAGTTGATGAAGACGAAGACAAAGAAGATTATGATAAACCAATCTCCTCAATTCTCAACAAAAGGAATCCTTAAGTCATTGATGAATCGAAAAGTGGATGGATGACATTGTCCTTCTCACTGGTGAAAGCTATGCTCCTCGGTTCTCATTCAAACCCCTTGATGACATTAATGAAAATTAGGATATTTTTCTAACTCTCCAAATTGTCTATGGATGCAACCACTTGATAGGTATCCTTTTGATCGTCCTATTACTGAGATCCTTGTTAGAGAAAGACAAAGGTTGATATATTACTGACACTAATGATATCAAGGAGCAGCCCGATCCAAGCCAATTTAAGGCCCAGGGCAAAAGCAAAAATTGGGGCCCTTTAAAATTTAGAAAAGTAATGTTTTTTTAACGACAAGAGATTTTATAAATTAAACATTCAGTAGGGAGCTTGCAAATACAAATTAAAAAAAAATAAGAATGTTCTCCAATGAATGATAACAAAATATTAGAAAAAAACATCATAACTTTCAACAAACTTTAGGCTCTAAATCTAATCATGGTATTGAAAAAAAAACACATTAAACAACAATAGCCTAAAATGAAACAATGCAATCCAAAACACAGTGGCAATGAACAATTTTAATCTTGCAAAGAGACATCAATTCAAGCCAATTTGATAGAAAATATGCATGGACGTCTTTGTGAACAATACCATTTTGTGAATATTAGCTCTATATATAAGCAAACAATAACATCAAACTTTTTCCATTATCTCAAAAAGACATTCCACTTTGATGTTTTTCATCCAGACATCAAACAACTATTAAAGGAATATAAAACTAACTGTAAAACAACGCTAAAAGCTTCCATCGATTCAATGTTATAACCAAACACATTAATAAACAAACTCATATCAATCGTAACTTTTAAAACCCTCTTTCTTGTCTCTTTAACATCATCCATTAATACCAACTCAACCTCTTCTTTCAAAATAAATTCAAGATATTCAATTGGCTACCTATCAAATTCAAACTAAAGATTAATGTTTGGAACCATCGCATATTTTAAGCTGTTACAAAATATGCTTAGAATATAGAATGATGTAAAACTTGCAATCCTAAAATTTATAAAGAAATAGATATTGAATAAAATAGATATTTGATATCGGGGTATAACCTTAATCCCATTTCCTGCCATAACAAAACTAAAACAGATCAACTAGTTAGCAATCATTATGTTAAATAAAAAATACGAGTGAGTATCTTTTTGGATATAAGAACATAAGATAAAATAAATAACCTCCATGAGGAGGCGCTTGAAGATCTGGATATCGCATCACTAAACAAAAGGAGAGAAAGAGTTCAAGAAGCATATGCATACGACGAGCCGACGACGAAAGATCAGTAAAAACTAAAAAGACCTTAATTCAGAAATCCAAAAGGCGAATAAGTTTTTCTTGAAAACTGGGTCGTCGCAATGCGAACATCTTAGATATAAAACATTTGTAATAATAGTAATAAAAAAATATCCATATGAACATTTCAAATATAAAAACTTAAGTGATAAAAAAAATATCAAATAGTTACAAAGAAATTTGAACTCAGGGTTACCCTTCAACTTCTAACGTGCATTCAATCACAGGTGCCTTTGTTTTTTTTGCAACTAATATTCTATATACTACAACAATATATATATATATATATATACACACACACACACACACACACTAATTGTTGGGGTCCCCCAGTTTGCCCTTCCTCATGGGTTGGCCCTGTCAAGGAGTGAACGTTGTGTGGTCATCTAAACGAATCAACAAATTCAATGAAATTAAAGTCCGGTCTTTCAAGTCTACTAGACACATTCAGTAATTCTTCAAGATAGCTAATGGTGAAAAAAAGGCAACGTTACCCTAACAGACTTTCCATTCATGAACCCTGTTGATCTAATATCTCTTAGGAAATGGTGCGAGAACTAGAGATCCCACTACTAACAAGTTCTGGGAACCATACTTAATCATTTGAGAATATATCATGTGGTTATTTTAGTAGGATTGATGAAGAGTTTTATGAAAAATGGAAACAACTTTCCCCTCTTCCCGAACCAGATATCTCTCTTGACAACATTAAAAAGATAAGCTACAGATTGACCAGCAATTCAAAAACTGAACTTATTTTTCGATGGAAGGGGTTTGGAAAATGCTTCTTCAGACTTCGTGAAAAGCATCTATTCTTAAAATTACTTAGTCTTTGGTTTTATTATGTTACCAATCGCTCCGACACATCTGAAGTCAAAGATCAATTCCTTCTCGAGCTCAAATGACTTCTTAGTGTTAGAAAGTTATAGCCAAAGTGTTTGTTGATTTTGGATATGGACTAAAGAGATCTTCTGCTACGTATCACTTAAGGCGATATTGTTAAAACACAAAAAGTATCGCTAGCAGAATGTGGACCGATGAGATACAATCTAAAATCATCTAGCCATGAGTTGAAGAACACATTATAGCTGATATCCACTATCCAATATTTTGTATTTTATTATTAGTTTTTTATGGCATCTCCACGCAAGGATCATTTTTTATAAAATAAAATTATTTTGGAAAAAACATTACAAACCACACAAATCTATTTTGTTATTTACAATATCAACGCACATTAACTTTTATCCATTTGAAACAATGTGACTTATAAAATTCGTAAATTATTATCGTTTCTATATGGTTAAGTTAGTTATAATATATCTGTCTTAATGAAAATGGATAAAATTTGAGCATAAATTAAAAAAAAATTAAAATCTCTTACATTTCTTTAAATAAAATTTAACAAAAAAGTATTCACTTTGAGATTTTCACCATCTTTGTTGGTTTGGGTCCGTTGTTGTCCAATGAACGGTTGAGTACGTGACTACGCAACGCAACTTCAATACAATTTCCCCAAATCTTCAAATTACTTCACCCTTCTACGCATACATCCGACGGGGAAAAGGTTTATACACAAAAAGATTCAGCTTTTCATTGGAAAACATAAAAGGGTTTTGCGAATTTACACAAATAAAAAGCTTCGATCTTTTTCGCTCTAGGGTTGTATCGTCATCGCTTTCGAATTTTTATCGAGATCGAATTCCTCACTATTTTTGTTCGATTTGATTCACATTAGGGTTCATTCCATTCCATTCCATTCGAATTCTTTTATTGGTTTCGAATTTCTTCTGTGCATGAGATTGCTTTCGGGCTTTTGATGTAAAACATTTGCTCTTGGAGAGAAGTCCAGCCTGAGCTCTAATAGAGTTTTGCTACCGATCTTTCCATCTTCGGTCAGACATAACTTTTTGTTGTAATTTAGAGCTGAGGGTCCTACGAAAGTTGCTCGATCTGAGTTTTTTGTATCTGTATTTAATTTTAACCTCCCATTCCTGGGGTAAAACTCGGAAATTTAGCTTAATTTGATTACAAGCGGAAAAGAGAATGTCTGCTTCAGGAATGGATTATGGCCGGGAAGGTGGTGGTGCAGGAACAATTTTAACACCAGCGAGATTTGTGTGGCCTTATGGGGGAAGAAGTGTATACTTAAGCGGTTCTTTTACAGGGTAAGTTTTCCATCCTAATTTTGCACGACAAGTGTTTGTGATATTGCCTCAATGAATACCCCCAAACTTTCTTTGATCGGTGTCATCTGCATTTCCTGAAGGTGGTCCGAGCACTGGCCAATGACCCCCGTTGAGGGATGCCCTACTGTGTTTCAAACCATATGCAGCTTACCACCTGGTTACCATCAGGTTAGTTCTTCCATACTTGAAACATTTAGGGTTCTTTGCTCTCAAGATTAATAACTCCATCTTCATACTTCATAGTTTACCTCATCTTGCAGTATAAATTCATTGTTGATGGTGAATGGAGGCATGATGAACACCAACCTTTTGTAACTGGTAATTATGGTGTTGTGAATACCATACTCTTAGCTAGGGAGCCAGACTTCACTCCTTCAGCCTTGACCCCACATACCACCTTCTGGTTCAAGCATGGATGTTGACAATGAGGTCTTTCAGAGAGTGGTAAGAAATAGCATAAAAAATAGTTGCTGAAAGTGAAACCTTTCATCATTCTCTTTTTTAACTATAAAATCTTTCATCACATAATTATTTCCACTTATTTTTCTATATGATTTGTTATCTTAAAGCAAAGGAAATTGTTTTATTACAGGTTAGGGTTTCAGATTGTACATCACATGACCTGTTGACAAGGATATCAGATGCTGACCTGGCAGTATCCCGTCAAAGGATTTCTGTATTCCTGTCTACACATATGGCATATGAGCTGCTCCCTGAATCTGGCAAGGTCTGATTAAGAATCTTGATATTCTATAAAGTTTATATCATTTTGAAGATTTAGTTTTTTTTTACATTCTTTTTCTTGTTCTCAGGTTATTGCCTTAGATGTTGAATTGCCTGTAAAGCAAGCATTTCATATCCTTTTTGAGCAGGTATGTATGACCCTTGAATCTTTATATGGAATTTTCATCATAAATGGTAATTTTTCATTATTCTTTTATACCATGTATGATTTTTTTCAGGGAATTTCAACAGCTCCTCTTTGGGACTTCAGCAAGGGTCAGTTTGTTGGTGTTTTAAGTGCACTGGATTTTATTTTAATTATGCGAGAGGTAAGTTGAAGGCGAATCCAAGACTCTATTTGTTTTGAGGTCTGGAATTGGATCTTTTTCAATCAGAAACACAACTTATAACTCCATAATGCATCAAGATCACTATATAATTTAATTTACAGTATTCTTGATTTAAAAAAATGTCTGATTTCTGATTTAATTCTTTTGCAGCTTGGTAATCATGGATCCAATCTAACAGAGGAAGAACTCGAGACACATACAATATCTGCTTGGAAAGAAGCAAAGTTATATCTAAGCAAACAAACTATCGATCAGGGTAAAATATTTTCTAAAAGACTAGTTCGGGTGAGTATTTCTTTCGGACGTTTTTACCCTTGTTTGTCATAACAAGAACTGTTTGCTATTCCTTATGTATTTGTACATATCAATTCAGGTGGGACCCGATGAAAACTTAAAAGATGTGACATTAAAGATACTGCAAAATCGTGTAGCTACAGTTCCTGTAACTCATTCATTCTCAGATGATGGTTCTTATCCACAACTATTATATCTTGCTTCACTTTCTGAAATATTAAAACGTAAGCTTTTATTTATTTATTTATTGGGTTTTACATTTTATTATGTTAACTAATTGCATCTTGCTAATTCAGTTGTTTGCAGATACTTTAGACATTCTACAAGCTCATTGCCTATATTGCAACTTCCAATTTGTACACTTCCTTTAGGAACATGGGTTCCAAAAATTGGAGAAACAAATAGACAACCATTAGCAATTTTGAAACCGAATTCTTCTCTAAGTTCAGCACTAAATTTGTTTGTGCAAGGTGTGTGTTGAGGGTATATTTGTCATTTTGACTATCTTCAGGTTTTATGTGATTCTATCTTTCTTTCTTTTTTGCAGCTGAAGTTAGCTCGATTCCTATTGTTGATGATAATGACTCGTTGTTGGATGTATACTCTCGAAGGTAAAACATTAATATTTACTTTTTTTTTTTTTTTTTTTTTTTTTGAGTTTAAATTTAAAATTGTTTTTATCGAATTAATTTTTTTTGACAGTGATATTACTGCTTTGGCAAAAGATAAAATTTATACGCATATTAACCTTGAAGAAATGACTATTCATCAGGCAAGTAAAGATTATATTTACTTATATAAACATATTTCAATTCAATTTTGTTTATAAAAATAAAAAATAAAAAAATTAAATTCGGTAATCTCAGGCTTTGCAGCTGGGACAAGAACCGTATGCTTCTCATGGAGGGACCCCACAAAGATGCCACATGTGTCTACGCTCAGATTCTCTGCATAAAGTCATGGAAAGATTAGCAAAACCAGGTAAATATATTTAATATAAAGTTTTTTATGTGGATAAATTATTATAAGGAAAATAAATACATGAGAGGGCAAAATTGACATTTGTGAGTTTTTTCGGGTCAGGGGTAAGACGGGTTGTGATTGTGGAGGCTGGAAGCAAGCGGGTAGAAGGTATCATTTCGCTAGGCGACATATTCAAGTTCCTGCTAAGCTAATGGATACAACAGTAACAGTATCAGTATCAGTATCAGTATCAACAAAAGTAACAGTAATTGTTTCACAATTCTTTGAAGCATATGATTGCGATTTGGCCTCGGGTTTTGATAAGGTGTATTAGTGTAAAGAGCAAAGGCATGTAAATCTTGATTGTGTTTTATATGTGATTCGACTCAAGCCTATGTGCTCTTGTTGTTTTGCCACGTGGCAACTAGTTTTATTTGACTTTTTTTTTTTTGAATTGTGGTTTTTGAATGGTGTTTGTATTTTAATTATTGTAGTATTTATAAGTTATAACAGTTATTCAATGGTTGATTTTAGGTATAAATAATAAAAGGAAAGATTGGTGGTGTTGTGAAATATGTGGTTTTTTTATTAGGTGTTAATTTTTGTAGTTTTTATTTTATTTTACTTTTGTGAAACTTATTTCAATCGGTGAGTCTTTTTAGCAAAATCGTTCAAACTTTTAATTAAAAATTAATTAAAAGATTTAGGGGGTGATTGATTAGGCTGTTTTACAAAATAAATTATTGGCTTAAAAAAATCAAGAAGTCTAAAAAACTTTTTGGCTATTGATAATTGTTTTTTAAAGTGACTTTTTGATATGTTTAAAAGTGGAGGTATCTAAAAGACAAACTTGTATAATTTTTGTCTATGTTGATTGTCAAAAATTGAGATTTTGGTCTAAAAATGTTTTGGATTTGTACCATCGGTTTAAAAAGTTTATTTTGTTGCGAGTCTAGTCTAAAATTTTTGAAACTTTTTATAATGATGGATTTGCCCAGTGTAAAATTTTTGAAACTTTTTATAATGATGGATTTGTCCTCGATATATATATACAGTGGCGAAGTATGTATGGGGCCAGGAGGGGTAGTGGCCCCCCTGATTTTTGGGCTAGAAATAAGAAATATACTTCAAAAAAAATAATTACAAGGCATGTTATCTTCAAACTTGGGCTTTGGCCCCTCCCGAATCAGACTCCAAGCAAGTATAGTCTAACCAAATCAGACTCCAGAAATCACGTTCGGTTCTTCCCCAATTTCGTTGAATCGTTGTTGTTGCTGTCGCTGAATTGCTGCTCATTGAGTCGTTGTTGGCCTGTTGGTCTCACACTCTCACTCTCGCTATCGCCCATCGCACCAAAAATCAGGTATGAAATCCCGAATCTTGTTCTTTCTTTTCCAGTTCACTTGCTCTTTGTTCTGAATTCTGATTGAATGTTGTGTTGCACGCCTACACTGTTGCGGTTGTTGCCTGTTTGCGAGTTACTCCTCTTTTCTCTTAATCTCTCGGTCCAAACTCCAAATTAGGGGTTAGAATTTCTCCTGTCAATTTATCAATTTGGTTTATCTGATTTGGTGTAGGAATTATGATAGTAGGATTCTAGAATTTCTCCTGTCAATTTGTCAATTTCTCCTATTTGCACTGTTGCTGCTGTTGCCTCCTGTTTGCACTGTTGCTACTGTTGCCTCCTGTTTGCATTGTTGCTGCTATTGCCTTCTAGTATATTTATTCTAGACAGTGGACACCAAACTGGAAGTATGGAATAGAAACAAAATGATTTTGTTATGCTTCAAACAAAACTGATTAACTGAAAACAAAGATGGATGAAAACCTTAGACTATTTTTATAAAATTGATTTGGTTTTCAATTTATCAATTTAATTTGGCGGTCAATTTGTCAATTTGATTTGGTTTTACTTTTCAATTTTCACACACTGATAATTGTTAAATGAGTTATTGGTTATTGTTCTAATTTTGATTTTGATTGAATCAATTGTTCCTTCATTTTGATTTTTATAGATATAATCATGGGAAAGATGAAAACCTTAGACTATTTTTACAAAAGAAAGGCAGATGATAAAGAAACTAACCATGAAAGTGAAGAGAGTAAACGTCACAAAGCTTCAACAAGTGAGCCACAACCGCAAGAAACAGAAAATCAACAAGAGAATGAGCCACAACCGCAAGAAAAGGATAAACAACAAGAGAATGAGCCACAACCACAAGAAAAGGAAAATCCTAATGAAGTTGATTCGAAGAATCTAGAAAGAGATCCCGCTAAACGAAAGCAAATGTGGGATTATCCGGTTACTTTAAGAGAACAAGTGAGACGAGCTTATCTGAATTTAGGACATTTCCAAATACATCTTAAGGAGTATAAAGCTAAAGGTTCAACAAAACATCCTCGTAGATTCAAATATTCTTGGTCCAACATTTTCCCTAATTGGCTAGAATATTCTCCAACAACACACGCTTCTTATTGCTTTATTTGTTATATATTTAATGATAAACCAAGTGTGTGTCATGGTTACGATGCATTTACTGTTAAAGGATTTGACAATTGGAAAAAAGTTAATGACGGGAAAAATTGTGCGTTCTTGAAACATATTGGTTGCTCACAACATAGAAATGATGTTGCATTTGTTGAAAACTTGATGAACCAAGCAACACACATTGAAAATATCATAGTGAAGCAAAATGAAGCGAAAATATTGAAGAACCGTTTACGCTTAAAAGTGTCAATTGGCACAGTTCGTTGGTTGACCTTCCAAGCTTGTGCTTTACGAGGACATGATGAAACTCTTGATTCCAAAAATCGTGGTAATTTTCTCCAACTTCTAAAACTTCTAGCATCGTATAATGATGAAGTTGCAAACGTTATATTAGAGAAAGCTCCTTATAATTCAAAGTATACTTCTGCGAACATTCAAAAAGAAATTCTTAGTATTATTGCAAATAAAGTTCGAAAGCATATTCGTAGTGAAGTGGGGGATTCATACTTTTGTGTCATGATTGATAAGTCACGAGATGAGTCTAAAAGAGAGCAAATGGCGATAGTTTTGAGATTTGTTGATGTGGAAGGAATCATACGGGAAAGGTTCTTGGATTTGGTTCATGTTAGGGATACCTTATCATTAACCTTGAAAACAAATATGTGGAGACAACTTTTACACTATCAATTTGATGTTAGTAAAATCCGTGGCCAAGGTTATGATAGTGCTAGTAATTTGAGAGGGGAATGGAACGGATTACAAGCACTTGTTCTTGAGGATTGTCCTTATGCATATTATGTTCACTGCTTTGCTCACAGATTGCAACTAGCCTTGGTGGCTGCTTCAAGGGAAATTATTCCGGTTCACCAGTTTTTCACAAACTTAATTTTTACAATTAACGTAGTTTGTGCTTCCGGTAAGCGTCATGATGAGTTACAAAAAGCAAAGGCAACTGAGATTGAACAGTTGTTAGAACTAGGTGAAATCGAATCAGGTAAAGGAATATTAAGAAGAGCTGGTGATATACGTTGGGGTTCTCATTTTCGTTCCGTTTGTAGTTTGCTTGTACTTGTGTTGTTCTCCAAGGAATAATTGATGACATATCTGCTACTTATTCTCAACGTGGAGATGCTGATGCAACTTACTGTTATCTGAAATCATTTGAGTTTGTGTTTATTCTTCACCTGATAAAGGAAGTAATGGGAAAAACTGAAATACTTTCTCAAGCTCTACAAAAGAAATCCCAAGATATTCTTAATGCCATGGAGTTAGTTTCAGCAACAAAGGAGAGTCTAAATGATTTTAGAAACAAAGGATGGGAGTCTTTACTTGCACAAGTAAAGTTTTTTTTTTTGTGAAAAACATCAAATAAATATGCCAAATATGAATGCCCTATATACTTCTACTCGATATCGGCATCGAAAAACAGACAATCATGTTACTTTTGAACATTTTTATCAAGTGGATTTGTTTACAACCACATTGGACAAACAATTACATGAGTTGAATAGTAGATTCAATGATCGGGCGATGGAGTTGTTGAGACTTAGTTCTAGTTTAGTTTCTAAAGTGATTAACATTGATCAAATTTGTCTTCTTGATGAGAAGTATTATCTTGAAGATTTTACAGAGCAAGAGAGGATTCAATTACGATATCAATTGGAGATTTTTAATATTGATATCACAAAGAATCTCAAACTAAGTGGTGTATCAACTATTGCTGACCTATGCAAGCATCTTGTGGAAACTCAGAAACGTGAGACATACTATTTGCTTGATAGAGTGGTTTGGTTAATATTGAGACTTCCAATTTCTACCGCAACAATAGAGGGGGGATTTTCAGCAATGAAAATATTCAAGAACCGTCTTCGCAATAAGATGTCGGATGATTTTCTCGCAAACAACTTGATGATTTACATAGAAAGAGAAATTGCTGAAAACATTCATTCAAAGTCTATAATTGATGAATTTAAAGACATTAAAGGTCGTCGGGCTGAGTTGTAATTCTTTTTGTAGGTGTTTTTGGTGTTTATTTGTTCAAAACATTTTGTTTTTTTAAGAACGTTAATTTCATGGACCATGGTGAGAGAAGACGAACTGAGAAATAGGGTAACAGATTCGATGGTCGTTCGATGAACAAAAAAGAGAGAAAGAGGGTGATAGCATATCTGAAATCTAACTCCATTCGAAGAGCATTGTGGTGGCACCAACGATAGGTCTCCGACGATAGGTTTTTAGTGGTGGTCCGACGAAAAGGGTGGCACTGACAATCAGTTAATTTTCCGGTGGACATTAGAGATGGAGTTTGTAAAACAGGGATGTGGATGTGGGTAGGATGGGTTATTAGGATTATGATTATATTTTTTTTTGTTTTATTTTAATAAGATAAAGTAAATAAAAAACAAATAGAAATGGTAAAACAATCATTTTAAGTAATTCCAATCTTGAAACTAAACTTGCAATAATTAAAAATTTTATTTCGATCGGTAATGCAATTCCAAATATTTTAGACTGGGTCATAATTTTTGACAAGCCACAGGGATCAAATTTGCAATTTTGTCTTTCTAAAAGTTATGAAAATTTGATTTTTTGAAGTGTTTTTGTATTTTTGAAATGAAAATCACAATATTATCTTCATCTATTTCCATACCTTTTTAGTCATTTTACAATTAAAAAGTTTTTTTATGGTAGGTAATCCAAACATTTTTAAAAAATTATTTTTATCATCACTAGATGTCAATAAAAACTTTTGTCTAAAAGCTCTTTCGAAATTCAAAAAACAATCCCAAACACCCTCTTAACTCAGTTTAACGACACAAACATAAGGCATGATGCAATGGAAAATCAAGGACATCTAACCAAAAAGATGGATCATGGATAGAGATAAGGGCTCTTTACAACCCATCGTCCAACAACAAACAATTTAGAGATGACAAAAAAGTTCCATTGTAGCCTATAATATAATCATCACAAAAGGTCACAATCCTCACAAGCTAAGATAGTCGTGGAGGCAACATTACATTAGGCAACATTAAGAGAGGAGGATATTTAATTTCTCTTACACCTATTTGTATGGGTATTCAAAAATGCCTAGAACATTTGGTGACAATTATTTCCCCACAACTTTCATTTTCCTTTAGTCGATTTTTACATGTTGCAAAACCCAAACTTTAAATAAAAAACGTTTTGGTTTCTAACTAATTTTTTGGGATTTTGGTTTTTAACTTTAATAATAATAAAATTAATAAAAGTTCATGTACTTGTTGAAGTTGAATTCTATATAAATATGACATAGATATTTATTAAATTTCTCCGTATATGGTATCAAAAGATATTTTAGAGATTTATTTATAACAATGTATTTTTTTCTTGTTAGAATGACAAAACGATTTTATCCTCCAGTAATTGTTGGATCATTTGGATTTTCAAAATTTCAAAACTTGTTTGCTATTTATGGTGTTGTCTCAAGGGTACATGTTATTTCTGGCGGATGAAGTTCAGATCATTTGCTACTATAGTTCCCTCCGAAGTTGAATTTAATTCTTTCATATTTTCTTATACTAGTTTGTTCTTCGATCTTTGTTGTTCTTCATGGTGTTGTCTCGTTGTCTTCTTTGTCCAGCTTTCTGTTGTTTTTTCTTTTCTTTATTATTTTTGACCGCCTTTTACAAATTAAAAAAAATCTAATATGGCACTTAACAACAAAGAATTACGTTAATTGTGCCAAAATCAAGTTAATAGCTCTACGTTTTAACCGATCAAGTATATAAAGGCGGATTTTATTAAATTGGAATACATGGAAACCTTATAATTGTATAAATAACTAAAAAAAAGGTCTCTTTGAAAAGACTTAAAATGTTGATTTTTTTTTTCTAAATTAAAAAACAAATCATCAAAAATACAATTTCATCAAGTTAAATTCTTCTTCCCAACCTTGATAAATATAATAAATCCGACCCATTTTCCACATATTTACTTTTTACTCTCAGAAAACCCGACCCATTTCTTACAATTTCACCTAAAATATCTACCACCGGCCATTTGCACCTTTTCTTTGTACCTCCCACCAGATTTACACAACTGGAAGAAAAACCCTCGAATATCTCCATGGCAAGACGCTCCAAATCCAAGGACTCAACGAAGCAGTCTCTGTCTAATTCGTCAAAGAAGGAACATGTCCACGAACAGGAGGAAGAAGATGAGGAGAAACTCAAAGCCATTTCAAGTCCTGTTGGTTCTGATGAAGATAAAAACGCCACCGCCACGGTTGACGCCATCGGCGAGGAGCTGGACGAAGATGAAAAGTTTGAGGTTTGCTTTTTTGGATTTTAGGCTTGTAGTCTGATTTTTGTCTCTTTTGTTGCTGCATGTCTGGGTATGAAGTATTTATTGGTGTTTTATGATACATTGTGGTTCGATTTGATCTTTTGGTGTGTTAGGGGGTGTGGTTTTTAGGGTTTTGGTTTGATTTTTCAGTGTAGCTTCAGTTTATGCATGCATTTCCTGCGAAAATGAGAGTATACTTATTCAAAACCCTAAATGTGATATTTTAATGGTTTTTTATTTTTTTGTTTGAAAAATGAAAACGAGATTACCTTTCAAAAACCCTAAATGTGATATGTGCTCAACGATCAAGAAACTCTCATTTCGTATTGAATTTTCAGCCTTCTCCACACGGATGTAACTTTTTCCGGTGGATTGACCCACCACTAAATGAACACTACAGAAGTACGCTATGGAAACTAAAAAAGCGAGGTGGATTTTAAATCAACTGAAGTCGAACGCCTGAAGAAGAAAGTGTTGAAGCTGACTTTAAGGGTTGCTGACGAGGAAAAGGCAAAGTTGCAGCTTATGGAGGTTATGGGAGAGGTTCAAAAATTGAAAAGTCAACTCAAATGGAATCTTATGTTTGTCATAGGTAGTGTCGTATATAGTTTTGGTTGGGGATAATTGGTTGTTTGGTGATGTTACTCATATGCAGGTTGGTAGACGATGAATCCACTAGTTTTAGAAACACATTTTGGGTATGGAAACATGTTGATCGTGTAGGAATGTAGGGTATGTATTGCCAAAAAAGAAGGCCTTTTTGTGTACAATCCTTAATTATATATAATGAAAAATCTAGGGATCATGCTTAAAGAATCCATGTTCTGTACTATTGTCTTGATTATTATATTGCTATATAAATTGAGACTAGTTGTGGTTCACAATTTAAAAAAAAAATGCCACATTTTGTTGTTTCTTTCACACATTGAAAAAAACATTATAGTGAAATTGTAAAATCGGCCGATTACCAAAAAGTGCAGTTTGTGTCTAAATTTTTAGATATGGTTATTCCAAAATGAAAATACTATTTTAGGTTAATATTATAAAAGTTTTTAAAATTTTAATGTATAATTGGAAAAAGCCCTGATATTTTTTTTATTATGTTGTGATCACAACTTTCTTGTAGAATTATCATTCTAACCCATTTAACGAGTTCCATGGTTAATTTGGTTAACTTTTTTTGCAAAATTAGTCCTAAAAAGTTCAAATTTAGTCCCTAAAGTTTGAAAAAATTTACACCACATGGTTTTTTAACTTTATTTTTCGTTTTTTGTATACTTTATTTATTTTGGGTTTTTTTTATAAATATATGTATATTTTTTATTTTCTTTATATATACTTTATTTACTTTCAGTTTTTAACTTTATTTTTCAACAATTTTTTTTAACCTTTTTACATTTTGTTTTCTATTTTTTAATGTATATATAGAGTATATTAGAGTTTATTTTAGGTTTTTTCATATTCATTTTTGTATTATATTTTACGTTTTTCACATTTTTATCTTTTTATTTTTTTTTTCTATTTTTTGTTTCTTATAGTTTTTCTAAGGTTTTTTCATATTACAATTTTTCTTTTCTATTTTTTTCTTCTTATTTTAGTTATTTATGGTTTTTTTTAATGTTTTTATTTACTTTGATTCAAGTAAACGAACTTGAATTCAATATAAGTTGCTATAACAAGATTTTTTTTTATAAAGATCGACTGTTATTATTATTATTATTTTTTTTAGTCTATTATCAAATTCAAAAATATTATCATGAATTTAATCTATTGATATCACATATAGAAATATGATTTAATTTGCAAGTTATATAACACATTGAAACACTAATTCTAAGTAAACATTTTTTTTAATTTTCATTTTTTTATAACATAAATATAATAGCACTAAAGAAAAAAAAAGAAAATAAATTGGATCGAAATTACAAATATAAACATAGCTACTTTATTTACTTGAATAAAAATAAAAAACAATTACAAAACTATAAATTATCAAAATTGTAATACACTCCAATATATTAATACATTTTACATTTTTTGAAAAATGTCAATAAAAAGATAAAAATACAAAAAAAAAAAAAAAAAAAAAAAAAAAAAAAAACAAATAATTGGAAAACATATAAAAAAAAAAAAAGATGAAAATATATATATATATATATATATATATATATATATATATATATATATATATATATATATAATACGAAAAGAAATGTGAAAAAACCTAAAAAAAACTCTAATATACTCTATATATACACTAAAAAATTGAAAATAAAAGGTAAAAAGGTTTTAAAAAATTGTTGAAAAATAAAGTTAAAAAATTAAAATAAGTAAAATATATATATAAAAAAAGGAAATAAAAAATGTACATATATTTATAAAAAAACCAAAAATAAATAAAGTATACAAAAAACGAAAAATAAAGTTAAAAAACCATATGGTGTAATTTTTTTCAAACCTCGAGAACTAAATTTGAATTTTTTAGGACTGATTTTGCAAAAAAGTTAACCAACTTAACCATGAAACTCGTTAAGTGTGCTAGAGTGATAATTCTGCGAGAAAGTTGTGGCCACAACAATAATAAAAAAAATATCAGAGCTTTTACCAATTACGCGTTAAAAATTTACGGCTTTTATAATATTAACCCTACTATTTTTGCCTTCATGATTTTCTTTTTCATTTTTTTATTTGTTTAAATATTTTTATAATAATAATAATAATAATAATAATAATAATAATAATAATAATAATAATAATAATAAAACTAAACAAAAACTAAAACCCCTAATAAACATGTCTCACCTTAACCTATTTATTTCTTTTCTAATATACCAACTTCATCTTTTCTCTTTCTTTCTCTTCTCTTTCCTGCTGGAGCACCACTCTCGACAGTTATTGTCGACCAACGCCAACCACTTGCAACCACTGGCTACCTTCTTGTTGGAAGCCACCATAATTCTCGTCGGGAACCACTACCATCATTAGAAACCACCAAAGTTGTCAAATACTCCAACCACCTTCATCGACACCATCGGGGAGGAGTATCGCCACCGTTAACGAATTTAGTGATGGGTTTTATACAAACAATCTTATGTGTGCATGCAACCCTAGATTTTGATCTATGTTTTCACTATTAGATACACAACATTATGAACACATGAATAAAACCCTAATGTAGCTTGCTATTTTCGAAATTCATATATAAGGTTAGATCACATACCTCTTGTTGTTATATTGCAATAACAACTTAAATCTTCAAACCCTAAGTCTTGAAAGCAAGCACCACAAGTGTAGTGCCTCTAATGGCTCACAAACACCACAAGCAATTAGAGAGGCTAAAGAGAGAGAAGGGAGGAGGTAGAAATCGGCCTAGGGATCTCTTAGAATCAAGTGGGACAATTTCTTAAGGCCTAAGGATCTTTATATAGGGTTGAGATTAGGGTTTCAGTCCTTATCCTTATCTAGTTGCTTGCCCACCAAGCAATCACAAGATAAGCCTTGATAACCCTTATCTCTTGGACCATATGGACGATTTCAAGGATATCCAATCCCTTGAATTCATCCATCCTTCTACAAGGATAACCATTGCCCTATTTTGTAACTATCACATAATTACAATTCAGTCCCTCTAGTTTAATTAATCACACTTGATCACAAAATTAATTCCTAATTAATTATTGACCAATATTAATTAAATGAATATGATTTCTCCTTTAATATATTATTCTTATAACATATTAATAAATCATAATAACCTCTTTCTCTATTTATTTCTCCAGTCAAGTTGCTTTGGTGAAGGCAACCCAAAAGGACCATGCATAATCGGGTCAAGTATTTACCAAATATGGTTACGGGCTTAGACATTAATCCAACATTTAGAACCACAACGATGACGAGTCGTCATCAGATCTAGATTTGGAACTTTGTAGACGAACACAATTGTCGAATGTCAGAACCCTAACACTATACGGACTCGACTACGCTGAAGAATAATCAAACACTTTCATTCGTACCTCCCTATCCACCTATGTTTGAGTTCCTAGATCGAAGGGCTAACCCACGATCATCATTTACTCAGGGACAAAGAGTATGTATGTTTGCCTTTTTTTGTAGATTTGTTTGACGGAGGACGTTGGATGGTAGTAGATTTTGACGAATCTATATGGAGGTAGGCTGTTGGATTTGGAGGGAGGTGATTAGAGGTGGACGACAATGGATATAAACGGAGGTGGATCTGAACATAAACAGCTTGGATGAGACTGAGCTCATGGCGGTGATGCTCCAGATAGAGAGATAATATGGAGTTTTATTTTTTTAAATATATAGATATTTATGTAAATAAAAGAAAAAGAAAATTACAAGGGCAAAATAGTCTTTTCGAATGCATTTTAATTTTTGAGGGACCAAATCTATACAATATTTTCATTTTTGGACTAACCATGTGTCAAAAAGAATTGAACTTAGACTACAGTTTTTTGGTAAATTATAGGAACCAATTTTGCAATTTACTCAAATTGATATAAACAAATTTATTGAGCACCATAACGAAATCTACAAAAACAAGTCTTCATATTTTAACCTTATAATCGATTTAATCCTTATATATTTTTTATTCAATTAAGTCCAAAACCAGTAATTGTTTGCAGATTGACCATTTTATCCGGTGAATCGGTCAACAATGGAATATGAGGATTTTTTTTGCATATATGATCAAAATATGTGGATTTATTTTAAATCAATTATTTAAATATATATATATATATATATATATATATATATATATATATATATATATATATATATTATCTTAGTAAAAGAAAATGTCTAGCGGACGAAATTATATTATATTAATCTTATAATATTGTCTTTGTCCGACATAGAGTATCTATTAAGAAAATAGTTTTTTTTCCTTCTAAATTTTAATCATTTTTAATAATATTTATATATAACAGATTGTATTATCTTACATTAATCGTATGATCTTTTATTTATTCTATATATAATTGTATGATGTTTTATAATTGAATTGAACATATAATATACTAATTAAATAAAAAAACAATTGAAGTTGTACAAAAATAAATAAACTTAAACAAACAAACATAAATGAACGTATACAAACAACATAAACAAACGTTCACAAACATAAATGAACGAACGAGACCCTGAAAGATCAATTTCATACTAATGGAATTCATCATCGGTTCTCATGACCATATACACCATCTCAAAATGGGCGCGCATAATGAAAGCAAACTTGTAGAAATACCCATGGTTTATGGTCAACAATTACAACGCATTGAGAATCCATTAAAATGATTATAGTTTATAATTATATCGATCCCTGTTGGGTGTTCTTCGGTATTTGACTATCATTTGTCCTGACATTTCATTTGCAGTCAATCTTGTCAGCCAATTCTAATTTCTAATAGAATCCTACTAAATGACCATTTTATTCATGTTAAGTGTATTATACGCTATGTTAAGGGCACATCACATTTTAGACTTACTTACTCTCGCTCCAATGATACTAGTGAATGAGTATCACTCCCTTGTAAATGTTGTTGCATACATCATTTGGGTAACACACCTTCTAGCTGATTTACACGTTTCTCTTGTAAGTTGCTCGCTCCTCCTATGTGACAACAAAGGAGTGGTGTTCATTATTGACAACCCAAACTCTCGTAAACTGGCAAAACATATTGCACTTGACTATCATTTCACTCGCAAACATATTGCAAAGTAGTAAACAAGCAACAACATCATCCATTGTATTAATAGTATAATTTTAAATACAAGT